CCTAACACAGAGCCTATTTTATTATAAACTGTTGAATATATCATATAATTTATTGAATATTGTACTGAAAGTGAATGACAGAATGGTTGCATGGGTGTTGAAGGTATGCTTTCTACTGAACGCATATTGCTATGGCATTATCACAAAGTTTGAAAAATCGTAAGTTGAATCACTATAATTCATGGACTGGTTACATATAGAATATATACTAGATATATGTAGTAGTTATATGTGTCCACATGTATACTATATATAATATATGTATATATGATATGTATTTATACTTATATACTTTATGTATTATATATTTATACATATTATATTATTATGCATGATATATTATATGTAACATATATAATATGTTATAATATATGTCATATGTTAATGTCAGATATGTTATATACATCACATATATGTTATATACATCATATATAACATATAAGTTATACATATATGTTATATATGTATATATTATATTATAACTATATATAATGTGTATGTTATATGTGGTATATAATACATAACAAATATAATATATACATTATACATAACAATTATATAATATATAATGTATATGTCATATATAACATATACAGTATATGTAACATAATGTATATTAAACTGATTTATAACAAAATGTATGTTATATGTAACATGTAATATATGTTATAACATATATTATAGCATATATTATATGTTAATGTCAGATATGTTATATACATCACACATATATGTTATATACATTATATAACATAAAAGTTATACATATGTTATATATGTATAGATTATATTATATATAACAATACATAATGTATATGTTATATGCTGTATATAATATAGAACAACTATAATATATACATTATATATAACGATTATATAATATATAATTATATATCATATATAACATGCATTATATGTAACATAACATATGTAACATAATGTTATGCCATGTACATATGTTACATATAACATACGTATGTTATATGTAACATAATGTATATGTTATAGATACATGTACTATATGTTATAACATATAACATGTATACAATATAATATGTATAATATATACATTATACATAACATATGCTGTATATGTATATAGCATATGCATATAAAATATGTCTATAAACATGCGTTTATAAAATATGCCTCAATATGTACATGCAATATATGTCTATATATGTATTTTGTGTATATAATATGTCGGGAAACAGGGCACAGAAGATGTCAGGCACTTGCTCAGGGTCACAGAACTCAGTAAATGGCAGAGCTGGGTTGGTTTAGAACTGAGGTCTGCCTGAGTTCACCAATGCTCTTAGCCACTAGGGCACCCTGTCCCCGCTTCCCCCTGGGAAGGAAAGGAAGCTGGAGGTAGATGACTGATAAAATGGGACTCTTGGGAGAGACACACTTGGAGATTCTGTGAGAGAGGTGTGAAAGGTGAGAATGCCAGGCAGGAAATGATATCAACCAACGTCTACCCTAAAAGACGTGCCCTTTCCAGCACTCAGGGACAGTGCCCTCGGCGCCTCTCAGTCTCCCTCAGACCGGCCAGACCCTCTGTGGCTGCATTCTGAGTCACTCAAGAGCTGACCTCCTGTGTGTAAGGGCTGAACGCCTTCCTTTCTTCCCCTCTTAGATTCTCTGGGAAAGTTCCTTTAGAGGGAAGTCAGATTGGGGTTTTCCACATGTTGCAAGGGAGCAGAAGAGGCAGTGCCACCTAAGGGATAGAAGTTTGGATCTAGAACCTGAAGTGCTGGAGTTGCTTCGTGTGCCCTGGCACAAGCCACTTAACCTGGGCTTCAGTTTCCCCTTCTGCTCCTGCTTCATGAGACTGTTGCAAACACTGATGAGGCATTAAATATAAAGCACATAATGCCCCTTGGGTCTTAGGAATAGTTAGCTGCTGCTGGTGGTGGTGATGCTTAGTATCCATGGGCAATAGTTGTTCCAAGTATGAACAGAATCAAGGAACCCAGAGACTAGGGTCATATTCACCTGTTGGGTTGTGTTTTTCTTGGGGAGGGTCTCACCTGAGTGAGGCTAGTCTGCAGCCTGAATAGAGGTATTCCAGACTGCTATTCCTGAACAAGGGTTTGAGCTGCAAGGAAGGAGAGGGGAGGTGAGAAACAGAAACAACAGCTGTGGGAAGCCAGGAAGAGTGGGGCATTGGAGGGGTGGACCAGGCTGGAGTGATGCGGGTGGGATGGGGTGAGGTGGGCGTGACTGAAATAAGTGGGCGTAGCATGGAAAGGTGGGCGTGGCTGGCATCAGTAGGTGGGGCAGGGTGAGGTGGGCTTGGCTAAAATCAGTGGGTGGGGCAGGGAAAGGTGGCTGGGGTTGGATGAGGTGGCCATGGCTGGCATCAGTGGGAGAGGTAGTGTGAGGTGGGCATGGTTTGTCTAAGTGGGCGGGGGAGGAGTAAGGTGGGCGGGGCTCTCACCAGACCCTGCAGGACTCTCTCTGTGGCGTTGAACTTCCTGGAACCAGGGTGCCGCATGTCCTCCACGTACTGCAGGTTGGTGATGGTGAAGTTGAGGGTGAATGGCACCATGAATGGGACTGTGACTGCTGCAAGGAAGGAGAAAAGAAGACCACGCCTGAGTCAGATCTGAACTGACTCTAAGTCAATTTCTGAGGACCCAGACAGAGTGCTTGAAGCAAGAGTTTGAAGCAGACAGGTGGGTGCTTTAGTTTGGACGGATAACGGAAAGCCAGGTAAGGAGAAAAGTGGGATGTTGCTAAAATGCATTACCTGGGCCCAGAAGCAGGTTAGGGGACTAGGGTGGGTGTATTGGGTCAGAATGTGTGACTACTGGAAGCTGAGGTCTCAGACTCTGCCAGGTGCCCATACCCACCCTAACAAACTCTAGCTGAGAAGTTAAAAGAAAAAAGGACCGGGACAGTCTCATGCTTTGGGGAACAAGAAGGAAAAAAAGAGTCAACTCAATCCCATTGAACATTGAACAACAACAACAAAACATCAAACAGCAGTCCTTAAAGCAGACCTTCTCTCACCTGCTTTACTTGGCTACCCTTCCCCCCGCAATCCCCAAACTCCCAGAACTTGCCCTTCCTTTAATAAAGAGGAGACCACACGGTAGACAGACATAGTTACCATGGTTACGGCCACACTAGTGAGTCAGATTTGTTTTCAAATCCCCTCTCTGCCCCTCACCAGCCAAGTGACCGTGGACATGTTACCTGTCCATACCTCAGTTTCTTCCACTGTAATGCAATGGGCATAATGGGCCAGGTGCGGTGGCTCACGCCTGTAATCCCAGCACTTTGGGAGGCCAAGGCGGGCAGATCACTTGAGATCAGGAATTCGAGACCAGCCTGGCCAAGACGGTGAAATTCCGTCTCTACTAAAAATACAATAATTAGCCAGGCTTGGTGGCATGCACTTGTAATCCCGGCTACTCGGGAGGCTGAGGCAGGGGAATCACTTGAACCCGGGAGATGGAGGCTGCATTGAGCTGAGATTATATCACTGCACTCCAGCCTGGGCTACAGAGAGAGACTGTCTTAAACCAAAAAAAAAAAAAAAAAAGGCGACGAGGGGCATAATGATATTTTGGAGGGAAATTAGGAAGGTTACACGACTGTTAAAAAGAACACATTTCTAGGGCATTACACTGAGTGGAAAAGAAGCCAAATCCAAAGGTGACATGTTGGACATTTCCATTTAAATAACATACTCAAAATAAAATTGTAGAGAGGGAGATGGAGATGGAGAGCAGAATAGCAATGGTTACTCTATTCAATAGTATTGGGCTCGGTGGGCATGATTATGAAGGGTAGCATGAGGGGAATCTTTAGGGGAATGGAATAGTTCTGAATCTTGATGGTGGTGGGCTTATAGGGCTACGCCCATGTGATAAAAATTGCATAGGGCTATCCACACACACGCACACACACATGCATGGACACACACGTGCACATGCACACACACGTGCAAAGACTCACACACACGTGCACACATGCACACACACGCACGCACACATGCACATGTGCACACACATGCATGCACACACGCATGCATGCACACACGCGCACACGTGTGCACACACACGCATGCACACACACAAGCTGACATATGCACACACAGGTAAAACCAGTAAAATGGATTTTAACAACGTCAATTTCCTGCTTTTGATATTGTATTAGAGTTATGTAAGATGTAGCCACTGGGGAGAAACTGGCTGAAGGGTACAGGGGAACGCTACACTATTTTTGCAACATCCCCTGAATTTATTTATTATTTATTTCAAAATGAAAAGTTATTTATTATTTATTTATATTATTTTATTATATTTATTATTTATTTCAAAATGAAAAGTTTATTATTTATATTATTTATTATTTATTTTATTATATTTATTATTTATTTCAAAATGAAAAGTTAAAAATAAAAAAATAGCACATGGTATGCCATATAGTAAGTGCTCAATAACTTGGTTGTCTTTTATTGTTAATTGCAATTGCTTTTCCATTTCAGTCTTCCCCAATACACTGTAAACTTGGTGAGGGGAGGGACTGCATTTGACTTAATCAACATCTTATCCCCTCTGCCTAGCCCAGAATAGGTGCCTGATAAATATTTGTTAAACCAAATTCCCTGGTAGCCCCCGTGCTAGGTGTTCTTACATAGAGTTGCATTTAACATTTGCAACCAATTTATGAAATATTATTGTCCCCACTTGGCAGGTGAGAAAACTGAGGTACTGAGAGGGTAAGTAAATTGCTCAAGGTCAACATGGCTGGAGAATGAGGAGGACCCTTCTCCTGTTCTTGATGAGTTCGGCGCGGAGCGGGGATGACCATGACTGCTCCAGGCTTCCTCATGCCATCTTTCCCCAGCATCTCCCAGTTACATATATAGTTTCTATAACTATAGATATAGAAATACATATAGTTATATATGGAGAAACATACATATATAACTATATACAGTTATTATAACCATATATATAACTATAACTATATAGAGAGACACTATATAAGTAACTATGTGTTTTATATATGGTTACTATATGGTAACTATATATGGTTATATATAACTATATATACTTTATATATAGTTATGGCTATATAAATAGCTATATATAACATAATGTTACATTATAATCATAAATATATTTTTATATAACATAATATATAATATATATGTTATAACATCTATCTATCACCTATCTATCTATCTATCTCTCTATCTCTCTATCTCTCTATCTATCTATCACCAAATAGAAACTTTCGAACTGGAAGATAAAGTAACTGAGATAAAAAGAATTCAATGGACGGGCAGAATGGAGCTGACAGAGAAAAGGCTTGGTGATTGCGAAAATATTCTATAAAAATTATTAAACCTGAAAGTTGGAGAGGAAAAAAAGGTTGATAAATAACAAAATGAACCGAACCTCAGGGTCTCTTGGGGCAACATCATTTCATTGGAGGCCCGAAGGGGAGAAAGAATCAGAGCAGAAAACAAAGTTGAAGATATAGTCTTAGACCATTTCCCAAATTTCTTGAAAAACAAACACTTTGAGACTCAAGAAGCTGAGAAAACTTTAAGCAGGATAAACTCGAAGAAAACCATGCCCAGACACATCGTAATCAAACTACTGAAAATTAATGATGAAGAACAAATTTCGAAAGCACCTAGAAAAAGTGACATCATTGTTCATGGAATGACTTGCTTTATAATACACTTTACATATGTACAAGCCCAGAGGAGTTAGGCATGTCACATAAATGGTTGAATTGATTAGGGCAGAGCAGTGAGGAAGTGGAGAGTGAACATCCTGTCTACAGCATGTAAAAAGTTTGCAGTATTGTGACTCACAAAACAGGAGGCCGGAAGGCAGAATTTAAATTACAGGACACCAGGTTCTATCCAATAACTCTAGAATCACAAGGCAGGGTTAAGGGTTAGGAATGCCCAACTTCCATCTTTTTTTTTTTTTTTTTCTGAGATGGAGCCTCACTCCATTGCCCAGGATGGAGTGCAGTGGCACAATCTTGGCCACTGAGAAAATTTCCAGATGAGGCAGGAAAATTGCATGAACCCAGGAGGTAGAGGTTTCAGTGAGCCAAGAGCGTGTCACTGCATTCCAGCAAGGGTGACAGAGTGAGACTCCATCTCAAAAAAAAAAAAAAATTAAATAAAAAAAATAGAAAGTTGAGAAGATACCAACCATAACTGGTCTCCAGGAATTGCTAGTGCAAAACTCCCGAGGCTGGACAGAAGTTAGGGTGCTAGAATACCACTCAAGTACCTGGGATGGTCAAAATTTAGAGAGTGGGCCAGGAGTGGTGGCTCATGCCTATAATCCCAGCACTTTGGGAGGCCGAGGCAGGTGGATCACCTGAGGTCAGGAGTTCGAGACCAGCCTGGCCAACATGGTGAAACCCTGTCTCTACTAAAAATACAAAAAATTAGCCAGGCGTGGTGGCGCATGCCTATAATCCCAGCTACTTGGGAGGCTGAGGTAGGAGAATCACTTGAACCTGGGAGGCGAAGGTTGCAGTGAGCTGAGATCACGCCATTGCACTCCAGATTGGGTGACAGAACAAGCCTCCATGTAAAAAAAAAAAAAAAAAGAATAAAGAAAAAGAAAAAAGAAAAAAAATTAGAGAGTGAGAGGGAGAGTGGAACAGGCTGAGGCTGGGTGGTCAGCAGGGAACAGACCGTGCAGTGTTAAATTTCATAGAAGCCAGAGAGGAGCTTCGTACCTGTGGAGCTGGGGATGGAGGATGTGGAAATCCCTGGGGAGAATGTAGAAGTCACTGGAGCTGAGAAAAAAAGAACATGGAAAAATGATTGGGTGTCTTCCTAAAGGCATGTGGCACAGGAACTGCTAATTGGTATTTGGGCTTCTATCTTGACTCACACCAAGACCTTGATGGGTTAGGGGCTGCTCTGAGGCTGTGGCTGGGCCCGCAGGTAGGGGAATGATCAGTTTCTTTTCTGAGGAATGCACCTTGGGGAGGAAGGATCCCAAGGCCATTGGAATATCACAGCTTTGAATACTCACTGCTGGTGGCAGGGGTCTGGTACCGATGGTTATAACCTGCAGATAGGGAGGAAAGAGTATTATGATGGGTGAGAGGTAGGGGAGGGGAAGATGGTAGATCTAGAAATGGAAATCATGGGAAACTTTCATGATGACCCCATCTGGGCTATCCCTCAGCCAGCCAGAGGGAGGGAAAGGGTTTCCACCTTAGATGCGTGACTTCAACTCACAAGGGAACCTCCATCGTCTCAGCCCAGAGTTGCCAAAGTTGAACAAGTCATGGACATTTCATTGAGAAGAGGTGGGGCCAAGATCTTTTGTGAATAAAGGATAATGGCTACATTTTATTTGGTACTTATTTTGTGCTTTGTCCTTTGACAATAATGGTGGAGATCATCACTATTATTATTCCTGAAATAAAAATATCATAATAGCTGTCCCTATTTATGGGGAATCTAGTATGCATCAGCAATAATAATAAACACATTACAAGGGTGGAAAGACACATGTATGGATGAGTGAACTTTCTGATCTTATTCGTATTGTCTCTACCCATAAAGATAATTTAGTTTGATTCTTACTCAAACTAGCAGCTCATTGTCATCACAAAGAAACTGCAGGGCTGGGCACAGTGGCTCACGCCTGTAATCCCAGCACTTTGGAAGACCTAGATAGGTGGATCACTTGAGGTCAGGAGTTCAAGACCATCCTGGCCAACATGGTGAAACCCCATCTCCACTAAGAACACAAAAATTAGCGTGGCATGGCGGTGGGCGCCTGTAATCCCAGCTACTCAGGAGGCTGAGGCAGGAGAATCGCTTAAACCCAGGAGGCGGAGGTTGCAGTGAGCTGAGGTCGTGCCATTACACTCCAGCCTGTGCGACAGAGAGAGACTGTGTCTCAAAAAGAAAAGAAGAGAAGAGAAGAGAAAAAGAAAGAAAGAAGAAAGAAGGAAAGAGAGAAAGAAAGAGAAGGAAAGAGAAGGAAGGAAGGAAGGAAGGAAGGAAGGAAAGAGAAAGAAAGAAAGAAAGAAGGAAGGAAGGAAAGAAAGAAAGAAAGAAAGAAAGAAAGAGAGAGAGAGGGAGGGAGGAAGGAAAGAAGGAAGGAAGGAAGGAAGGAAGGAAGGGTTAGTATGATTTGGAATACTGGAGAAAATTTGGCAAAACGGATGTGGTGGTAAAAACAAGAGACTTCAGGATGACAGGAGTGGCATTACCATTGGGGCAAGAAAGGAATTGGGGATAAGAGAAGTTGTCATGAGTGTTTCTCTAGGTCATGGACTGCATCTCCTTTGAGGCTCTGTGAGAGATGCAAGGAAAGACGGAACCCAGGAAAGCCCTGTAATTCACATGGGTTGTTCCTGAATTATCTCATTTGATTATCGGAACAATCCCACATGGTATTTTTATTCCATTCTACAGAGAGGACATTAAAGTCTAGGGAGGTTACATGGCTTGTCCTGCATCCAACAAAACAGATATCTGTCCGTCATTCAATAGTACCACACTGTTAAGCTGTGCCCTAAATTAGTCATAATCCTATGGACACAGAACAGGATGTGTACTTGATACTACAATGAAATACTTTGTATGATCTCCTATGTCAAGGATAGAGGAGTATATATCCTCTATTTCAAATCAGGTATAAAGGAAATCTCCAAGTGGATTCAGAGGGGAAATAACAAATTCAGCATTAGGTTAGATCATTAGCACAGAGGCCATTCATGCCTCATTCCTGTCCTAAGATTGGGGCTTGCTGTATTTGGATGATCCACAGTGATGTCTTGTAGTTAGGAGCCTGGAATTTTCATGAGTCTTTCATGGTATTGCGGGATTTTAGCAAGTGTGGTACGTTCTGAAACATGAATTAGATCGTCTTTGGCGCTCTGTCAATAGTGCAAAGAAAATTCAGATTTATTTTACATTTGCTGGTTTGACTGGTTTTCTTGAAACTTCTGAGACTGGGCCAAGCGGAGCCCTATCATTTACTAAGGTTATTAGGCTTTTATCTTATTTGATCTTCACAATAATCTTAGCTGACATTTTAAAAATTAAAAAAATAATTTAAAATTTTCATTTAAAAAATAAAAAAAAAAAATCCATTCCAAAAATAGAGGCAGGTGAGGTGGCTCCCACCCGTAATCCCAGCACTTTGGGAGGACTTTGGGTGGGTCACTTGAGATCAGGAGTTTCAGACTAGCCTGGCCAACATGGTGAAACCCCATCTCTACAAAAATACAAAAATTACCTAGGCGTGATGGTGGGCGCCTCTAGTCCCAGCTACTCGAGAGGCTGAGGCAGGAGAATCGCTCCAACCTGGGAGGCGGAGGCTGCAGTGAGACAAGATTGTACCACTGCACTCCAGACTGGGCGCCAGAGGGAGACTCCATTAAAAAAAAAAAAACAAAAAAAACAAAAAAAACTGAACCCTCTGGGCAAGATTAGTGAGACATAGCACGTATGGCTGGGCACGGTGGCTCACGCCTATAATCCCAGCACTTTGGGAGGCTGAGGTGGGTGGATCACGGGAGGTCAGGAGTTCGAGACCAGCCTGGCCAACATGGTGAAACCCCATCTCCACAAAATTACAAAAATTAGCCAGGCATGGTGGCGGGCACCTGTAGTCCCAGCTACTCGAGAGGCTGAGGTAGGAGAATCACTTGAACCCAGGATGTGGAGGCTGCAGTGAGCCAAGACTACCACTGCACTCCAGCTTGGGCACTAGAGGGAAACTCTATCAAAAATAAATAAATAAATAAATAAATAAATAAATAAATAAATAAGGACACTGAATCCTTTTGGCAGGATTAGAGGATTAGTAAGACATAACACATATGGGCAGGCACAGAGGCTCACACCTGTAATCCCAGCACTTTGGGAGGCTGAGGCAGGTGGATCACCTGAGGTCAGGAGTTTGAGACCAGCCTGGCCAACATGGGGAAACCCCGTCTCTACTAAAAATACAAAAAATTAGCCGGGCGTGGTGGCGGGCGCCTGTAGTCCCAGCTACTCGAGAGGCTGAGGCAGGAGAATCGCATGAACCCGGGAGGCGGAGGCTGCAGTGAGCTAAGATTGTACTGCTGCACTCCAGCCTGGGCGCCAGAGGGAGACTGTCAAAAAAAAAAAAAAAAAAAAAAAAAAAAAAGACATTGAATCCTTTGGGCAGGATTAGTGAGACATAACACATATAAGAAGTTCTGTAAATATTAGCTTTTACAGTAAATATTAGCTTTTATTGTAGGTGTTCTTGTTGGTGATGTTGCTAAGAGCATTGTTCCAGAAGCCTAGAGACGCTGCAGGACTTTCCCAGGGCCACACGGTGAGCAGCACCAGGACTTGGGATTCACCAAAACACACACTGTTAACAGCTACTTTTAAGTCACTCTCAGTGACTTGTAATGAAATATAAGGCAGGTTGTCATCCAGGTATAAAGAAAATGTCTAAGGTGGTATAGTGAGGACAGAGTTAATCAAACTTTAGCTCAAATTGTTGTATTAGAAGCTCCTTGATAGGCTTTTCCATCCTGAGATGTGTGGGCTTATTCATGCTGGGTCTGCAGCGATGCTTAGAAGTTAGGGTGGTGGCCAGGTGCGTGGCTCATGCCTGTAATCCCAGCATTATGGGAAGCCGAGGTGGGTGGATCACCAGAGGTCAGGAGTTCGAGACCAGTCTGACCAACATGGTGAAACCCTGTCTCTACTAAAAATACAAAAATTAGCCTGGCATGGTGGCGTGTGCCTGTAATCCCAGCTACTGGAGAGGCTGAGGCAGGAGGATTGCTGGAACCCGGGAGGCAGAGGTTGCAGTGAGCCAAGTTCACACCACAAGACTCTGTCTTAAAAAATAAATAAATAAATAGATAAATAAATAAATTAAAAAGGAGAAGAAGTTAGGGTGGCTAGATTTTAGAGTCAATTTGGGGTTTGAGTCCCAATTCTATTACTTAGCTATCAAAACTTGGGCAAACAGATTCCCTGCCCTGAGCCTTGTTTGTTTCTCTGGTATGTATATTTTACAGCCTGCTAAGACTTTGGGTAAGGTTAGTAAAACACAATATACATACGAAGTTCAGTATCACAGGAATCCCTCAATAAATATTAACCTTTATCACAGGTGTTCCTGTTGGTATTGTTGCCAACAGCATTGTTGCAAAGGGCTTTATTGCTAAACACATTACTCAGAGTTTTTTGGTTTGTTTTGCGAGTGGAGTGTATAGTTCCAGCTGACCTTTGGAGAAAGTAAAGGGCCACCAGCTGCTATAAAGAAGAGAAAGATGAAGATGAGTGACTGTATTGGGAACCTGTTGCCTGTTGGGGAAGAATTATGTCCAGTCACCACCATGAGCCTGGCTTTTCCCTTCCTTCCTTGATTCTGCATGCTCCCAGTGGGCCTCTGAATGGTCATGGGGATGAGAAGGCTGTGGAGGGAATCTTTATTTCCACTTGAAAGAAGCTTCCTCTTTTTTGAGACGGAGTCCTGCTCTGTTGCCAGGCTGGAGTGCAGTGGCGTGATCTTCGTTCACTGCAACCTCCGCCTCCCAGGTTCAAGCAGTTTTCCTGCCTCAGCCTACTGAATAGCTGGGAATTACAGGCACACGCCACCACACCCAGCTAAATTTTGTATTTTGAGTAGACACGGAGTTTCACCATGTTGGCCAGGCTGGTCTTGATCTCTTGACCTTGTGATCTGCCCGCCTCGGCATCTCAAAGTGCTGCCATGAGCCAGCGTGAGCCACCGTGCCCGACTGAAAGCTTCTTTTTAAGTGTGTTGAGTGGAGAGAAAACAGACCCATCCCACCCTGGAAATTCTAGGTTGGCCCAGAACTTTGAACATAGGTAGAGGACTTGTACTACAGGGAGACCCATTTGGGGAGCAGGAGGAGCCTCCCCAACTGTAGCCCAAGTTACTCACCATTGTCAATAGCTACTCACCATTGACATAGAGGCTGTTCCTGTTAAGAGTGTAGGGTCCCAGCAGGGTGACACCGTGAGTCAACTGGCTCAGCTCCCAGTACAGCTGCTCTCTGTCCAGCTCATAGCTGGTGGGATCTGAGCGGTAGGTGCAGATGGCATCCACTCTGGTGCTTGTCCCATCCTTTTCAGCCCTAGGGAGGGACATGGGAATACAGACATACAGAGATACTTGACAGCTGGTACTCTGAACAGCTCCTTTCTCCAGTGGTGCCCCTTGGTGGTTTTTGTTGTTGTTGTTGTTATTTAGTTTTCCTTTCATAATCATAAACTTAACTCTGCAATCCAGCTAGACGTGGAAGAATATAAGGAAAATATGAAACCCAAAGAACAGCAGTGAGAGCACAGAGATTACAGGATAGTGTGAGCAAATGGGGTGGAGGGTGCTCCTAAGCTACGCTACAGAACGAATGGTCTGGCGGTGAAGATAATACACAAGTCAAATTGATTAGTCATCACAGTCCGAAATGGTGATCTTTTTGCTCGTCTTGACTTTTCTTTTTTTTTTTTTTTTTTTTGAGACAGAGTTTCACTCTTGTCGCCCAGGCTGGAGTGCAATGATACGATCTTGGCTCACTGCAACCTCCACCTCATGGGTTCAAGCGATTCTCCTGCCTCAGCCTCCAGAGTGACTGGGATTACAGGTGCCTACCACTGTGCCTGGCTAGTTTTTGTATTTTTAGTAGAGATGGGGTTTTGCCATGTTGACCAGGCTGGTCTTGAATCCCTGACTTCAGGTGATTGGCCCACCTTAGCCTCCCAAAGTGCTAGAATTCCAGGCATAAGCCACCATGCCTCGCCTTAATTATACATTTTAAAATAACTAAAAAAGTGCCAGGTGCAGTGGCTCACACCTGTAATCCCAGCACTTTGGGAGGCCAAGGCAGGTGGATCACTTATGCTGGGGAGTTCGAGACCAGCCTGGCCAAAATGGTGAAATCCCATCTCTACTAAAAACACAAAAATTAGCCAGGTGTGGTGGTGGGCACCTGTAGTCCCAGCTACTCAGGAGGCTGAGGTGAGGTGGGAGAATCACTTGAACCCAGGAGGCAGAGGTTGTGGTGAGCCGAGGTCACATCGCTGCACCCCAGCCTGAGCGACAGAGCGAGAGTCCATCTCAAAAATTAAAATTAAAATTAAAAAAATCACTGAAAAAAAAACTCCAATACTTAATAGCACAGCAGGGTGACTACAGGCAATAATAATTTAATTGTGTATTTTAAAATAACTAAAAAAGTATAACTGGATTGTTTGTAACACAAAGAATAAATGCTTGATGGGATGAATGCCCCACTCTCCATGAAGTGATGGTCACACGTTGCATGCCTGTGTCAAAACATCTCATGTACCCTGTAAATATACACCTACTGTGTACCCACAAAAATTAAAAATTAAAAAACAAAATATTATTAGTTTCAAATAACTAGAAGAAGGATATTGAATGGTCCCAACACAAAGAAGTGATCAATGTTTGAGATAATAGATGTGTTAATTACCTTGATCTGATCACTATATACCACAGGTATTAAGACTATAAATATGTACAATCAATATATGCCAATTAAAAAGTAAAATAAAAGGTAAATCTAAGCAACATTAAAAGAAAAAGATTTGCAAACAACGCCCCTTTTTTTTAAAGGTTTTTGTTTTTTTTTGTGAAGGGGGGTGGAATATGGCTATTATACCTAAAAATATGTTCTCTATGTTAACATGTAGTAGATTTATTATTTTTAGTGAATGAATGAATACATATTTGTACTATTTCTTAGTTTTAATTTTTTATTTTTATTTATTTTTTTTTTTTGAGCAAGGTCAGGCTCTGCTGCCCGGGCTGGAGTGCAGTGGTACAATCTTGGCTCACTCTAACCTCTGCCTCCTGGCTCAAGCCATCCTCCCACCTCAGCCTCCCAAGTAGCTGGGATCACAGGCAGACGCCACCACACCCAGCTAAGTTTTGTATTTTTTGTAGAGACTGAGTCTCACTTGCTCGTCTGGGCTGGTCGCAAACTCCTGAGCTCAAGCCTTCTGCCTGCCTCAGCCTCCCAAAGTGCTGGGATTACAGGTGTGAGTCACTGTGCCTGGGCTAGTTTTAATTTTGAATACAGTAAATATTGTTATACAAGCCCAAAGGCTCTTTGGAGTTCTGAATACTTTTTTTTTTTTTTTTCAGACAGAGCATCACTCTGTCCCCCAGGCTGGAGTGCGGTGGTGCGATCTCAGCTCACTGTAACCTCTGCCCCCCCAGGTTCATGCAATTCTTGTGCCTCAGCCTCCCAAGTAGCTGGGATTACAGGCATGCGCCACCACACCCAGCTAATTTTTGTATTTTTAGTAGAGACGGGGTTTCGCTGTGTTGACCAGGATGGTCTCGAACTCTTGACTTCAGGTTATCCACCTGCCTCAGCCTCCCAAAATGCTGGGATTACAGGCGTGAGCCACCACGCCCGGCTATGAGTACTTTTTAAGAATGCAAAAGGAGGAGAGAATGGGATAATGCTGGCCAAAGGGTACAAAGTTTAAACTATAAGGTGAATAAGTTCTGAAGATCTAATGTATAGCATGATTACGAAGGTTAACAATGCTGTATTGTATACTTGAAATTAGCAGAGAGGATTGATCTTAAATTAAATCTTCTCAACACACACACATGCGCGCACAAATGGTAACTCTGGAGAGGTGCTGGATGTGCAAATTAGCTGCATTCTGGTGACCACTTCACCAGGTTCACACATGTCAAGACATCTAGTTGTACACCTTACATATACACAATGTTTACATGTCAATGATATGTCAATGAAGTGGAATGTAAAAGGTTGTTGAATCCAGTGAGCTTGAGGACTGCTGGTGTCAAGGTTACAAGTAAACATTCTAGAACCAGAACCCTTGGGCTTAAAGCTAGGCTCCTCTTAAGCAAGGAACTTGATTATTCTGAGCTTCAGTTTTCTCATCCACAAGATGGGATAAAAATAATGTGGTTGTGAGGATAAAATAAATGAAAACACGTAAACCACTTAGATTGCTGGTGGCATGTCGTAAGAACAATGTTATGACATTCCCTGATCCTATGGAGAGATGGGGGCGGGTGGGGTCAGGGGAACTCAGCTGAGGACAGTTTTGATTTCTTTTCATGGGGCTATGTGAGTAGAAGACCCACCCCTCTGGCAGGGGATCTGAGTTGACTGAATGGAGGACCTCACAGAGAGGCTGCAGGGTTGTAAGGTGTAAGGAAAGGGTACTGAATCTGCTGCGCCCCGAGAACACTGAGAGGACACAAGCAGAGAGGAAAAGACAGGTCATTAAAACCTAGATGACGTGTTGATAGGTGCAGCAAACCACCATGGCACATGTATACCTATGTAACAAACCTGCACGTTCTGCACATGTATCGTAGAACTTAAAGTAAAATTAAAAAAAAAAAAAAAGATAATGGATTTTTCCCTTTGATTCAGTAAGACTGACTTTGGCAAAGTGCCTATCTCTTTCCAGGGAGCAAACTGCAGAGCTGTGGTGTCCGGAGCTTGACCCTAATGTGGTAGAGATGGGCTGGGGCCAGGAAGCTGTCAGGGATTCTGGGGATACCTTTGGCAAAGATGCTACACCAATTGCTGCTATGAGTCCTAATTAAATGAGCATTCACAGTGGTCCAGGCACTCTGCTAAGTGATTAAGAGTAAGAGACTGTTGGGAGGCTGGGGCAGGAGAATCGCTTGAACCTGGGAGGCGGAGGTTGCTGTGAGCTAAGATCATGCCACTGTACTCCAGCCTGGGTGACAGAGTGAGACTCCATTTCAAAAAAAAAAACAAAAAACAGAGAGAAAAGAGCAAGGGACTGTTACTATCACCAATAGAATAAGAAACTGTTATTATCATCAAGAGTAAGAGAATGTTATCATCACCATTTTATAAATAATATGATTGAGGAACAGAGAGGCTGTGCGTCTTGCCCAGGGTCACACAGCTAGCAAATTGTAGAGCCGGTGTTGAAACCGAGGCACTTTGGGTCTATTATGCTATACTGCCTCTCAGCAAAAGCCCAAGTCGCTGTGGCTGCTGGGGGTGTGGGAGGCAAAGAAAGGACTGAATCGGGGTTGCTGTAGGTGCCGTGAAGGGGGGGGTCTCACCTGAGCGAGGTCAGCCTGCAGCCAGCATAGAGGGAACCAATACTGCTGTTCTGGAACAAGGGCTCGAGCTGGGAAGGAATGAGAGAGAGATGAGGAGGAGGAGGGGCCGAGACATTGGAGGAGTGGGCATTGGCTGGGGGGCTCTCACCAGCTGCTGCAGGGCCCTCTCGGTGGCATTGAATATTTCAGAGCCCATGCGCCCCATGTCCTTCGTGTACTGCAGGTTGGTGATGGTGAAGTTGACAGTCAAAGGCATCAACAAAGGCATGCCAGCTGCAGAAAGGGAGGGTAAGAAGAGACCAGTCCTAAGTCAGACCCTGGGCAGTGGGGCGTGGGAGGAAAGGCTCCGAGGACACATTTTAACTCCAGCATCCAGCTGGGGTCCAGCCTGGGCCATCCTACTTGAAATACCTTATGTAGCAGTCACTGTCTGAGACCTTCCTATGTGGGGTGACCAGTGATTCCAGTTTGCTCGGGCTGTACGGGCTGAGACTGCCAGGTGCGGTGGCTCACGCCTGCAATCCCAGCACTTTGGGAGGCCAAGGGTGGATCATGAGGTCAAGAGATGGAGACCATCCTGGCCAACATGGTGAAACCCTGTCTCTACTGAAAATACAAAAATTAGCTGGGTGTGGTGGCACACACCTTGTAGTCCCAGCTACTCGGGAGGCTGAGGCAGGAGAATCCCTTGAACAGGGAGGCGGGGGTTGCAGTGAGCCAAGATTGCACCACTGCACTCCAGCTTGGTGACAGAGCGGGATTCCGTCTCAAAAAAATAAAAAAAGAAAAGAAAAGAAAAGTGAGACAGGGCTGAGTGCAGTGACTTATGCCTGTGATCCCAGCACTTTGAGTGGCTGAGGAGGGTGGATCACCTGAGGTCAGGAGTTCGAGAGCAGCCTGCCCAACATAGTGAAACCCTGTCTCTACTAAAAATACAAAAAATTAGCTAGGCATGGTGGTGTGCACCTGTAGTCCCAGCTACTCAGGAGTCTGATGCAGGAGAATTGCTTGAACCCAGGAGACAGAGGGTCAGAGGTTGCAGTGAGCCAAGATTGCACCACTGCACTAGGGAAAATGGGGAATGGGAAATTATTCCTTCAGTCCTGTTTGGGGTGACAAAAAAAAAAAAGTTTTGAAAATAGATATTGGTGAGGGTTACACAACAATGTGAATATATTAGTACTGCTGAATTGTACATTTAAAATGTTTAGAATGGAAAATTTTATAGTATTTATATTTTACCACAATAAAAAAGTTATTCTTACTTGCTCTTGAGGTCACACTCTCAGAGACCAAGGTGGACATCCCAGGTGTGGTCAGAGGAGCAAAGGAGCTTCCAGCCAGTGTATTGAAGGTGGTTGTGGTCTTGGCCACAGTGGGACTGGAACCTGTGGCAGCTAAATTAGTGGTTTCAACCACCGTAGTTCTCAAGATAGTGGTTGGACTCACTCCTTCTCTATGACTGGGTTTAGGTGGTGTTGGCGTCTCTGATGGTATCAAGGTCATAGGGGTGCCTGTGACAGTCCCGGAAAATTCTGGGGGTCCAGCTGAAGTTACAGATGGTGAGGTTTTTGTGTTCCAGGAGGTCACAGTTTGGGGCTTACCAGTTGTTATGGAGGCACTGGGAAGCCCAGAGACAGCAGGGGAAACAGTCAGAGTTAGAGTACCGGTGCTGGTCTCTACTGAAGAGCTGGTGGCTAGTGAGCCTGTAGTCTCTAATAAACCAAGGGAAAGAGTTGAAGTTGGAATCATTGTGCTGGTTTCTGTCCCTGGATAGGTGGAAAGTGAGGCTGTTTTTGCAGAAACACCAGGTGAAGCAGTTGGATTTAGATCAACTCTGCCAGTTCCAGTTACAAGTAGGGTGAAGAGAGAGGATGTTGTCTGAGTTGAGAGAGCTGTGCTAGTCTCTGTGCCAGGTCTAATGGAGAGTGAGGCTGTTGTCCCTGATACTTGAGGAAACACAGTTGAAGCAGGAAACGTTGTACTTGTCTCTGTGCTGGGATGGGTGATCAATAAGGCTGTGGTCTCTGGCATAACAGGAGAATGAGTCAAAGTTGGAATAGTTGTACTAGTTGCTGCCCCAGAACTAGTGATCTGTGAAGTCACCATCTCTGGTGCACCAGGTGAGATTGTTGTCAGCACAGCTGAACTGACTTCTGTCCCAGGACTGGTGGCCATTAAAGGTGTGGCATCTGGTCTACTATGGGAAAAACTGGGGGTTGTTCTCAAAACAGGTGTGCTGACCTGTGCAGGATGAGTGACCCAGGAAGCTGTTGTACCTGGCTCACTAGAGGGAACAGTCCGAATTGGAACAGTGAAGCCAGTCTGTGTCCCAGGATGGGCAGCCAATGAGGCTGTGGTCTCTGGTTCACCAAGAGAAGGAGTCAAAGTTGGAATAGCTGTACTAGTGTCTGTTGCAGAACTAGTGACCTGTGACGTCACTACCTCTGGTATACTGGATGGGATGGTTGTAACTGGAACAGCTGACCTGGCATCTACTCCAGGACTGGTGACCATTGAGGGTGTACTGTCTGATCCCCTATGGGAAAAGTTGGGAATTGTCCTAGAAACCTTTGTGCTGGTCTCTGCAGGATGAGTGAGCCATGTGGCTGTAGTCACTGGTTCATATGGGGTCTCACTCAATGTTGGGAAGGTTGTACTGGTGTCTGTCCCAGAACTAGGGACCAGTGAGGTCACCAGATCTGACATATCAGGTGAGATAGTTGTCGTTGAAACAGCTGAACTGGCTTCTGGCCCAGGACTGGTGATGGCTACTGGGAGTGTGGTGTCTGACTCACTATGGGAAAACTTGGGGGTTGTCCTGGAAACCATTGTGTTGGTCTCTGCAGGATGAATGTGCTGTGTGGCTGTTGTCTCTGGTTCATATGGGGTCTCCGTCAGTGTTCGGAAAGTTGTAGTGCTGTCTGTCCCAGAACTAGTGACCAGTGAGGTCAGCATCTTTGATGCACCAGGGGAGACAGTCAGAGTTGGAATGGCTGAACTTGTGTGTGTCTCAGAATAGGTGATAAATGAGGTTGTGGTCTCTTGTTCATCAGGAGAAAGAGTCAGAGCTGGAATAGTTATACCGGTGTCTGTCCCAGAACTAGTGACCTGTGAGGTCACCATATCTGGTACATCAGATGAGGCAGTTATTGTTGGAAAAGCTGAACTGGCTTCTGCCCCGGGACTGGTGGCTATTGAGGGTGTGGTGTCTGGTTCACTATGAGAAAAATTAGGGGTTGTCCTGGGAACTGTTGTGCTGGTGACTGCAGGATGAGTAACCCATGAGGCTGTTGCCTCTGATTCATGTGGGGACTCAGGCACTGTTGGAAAAGTTGCACTGATGTCTGTCCCAGAGCTAGTGACCAGGGAAGTCAGCACACCTGGTATACCAGGTGAAATAGTTGTTGAAATGGCTGAGCTGGATTCTGCCTCAGGACTGGTGACTGTGGAAGGCATAGTGTCTGATTCACTATGGGAAAAGCTTGAGGTTGTCCTGGGAACAGTTGAGCTACTCTCTGCAGGATGGGTGACAAATGAGATTTTTGTAAATGGCTCCCCAGTGGAGACAGTCAAAGTTGGAACAACAGAGTTTGTTTCTGTCCCGAAATGAGTGATCCATGAGGCTGTGGTCTCTGGTTGACCTGAGACAACAGTTAGATTTGGAAATGCACTGGTCTCTGACCCAGAACTAGGGACCAGTGAAGTCACCAGCCCTTGTTCAGTAGGGGAGACAGCTAAAGTTGGAATGGCTGAAATTGTCTTTGCCTCAGAATGAGTGACTAATGAAGTTGTGGTCTCTGGTTCACTAGAAGAAATAGCCAGAGTTGGAATAGTTGTACTGGCTACTGCACTAGAACTAGTGACTAGAGAGGTCACCACTCCTGGTACCCCAGGTAAAACAGTTGGAACAGTTGAGCTGGCTTCTGCCCTTTCTGTCCTATGACTGGTGGCCATTGAAGGTGTGGTCTCTGGTTCACCAGGAGAAAGAGTCAGAGTTGAAATAGTTGTACTGATCACTGCCCTAGAACTAGTGACCAAAGGGGTCACCACTCCTGGTACCCCAGGTGAAACAGTTGGAGTTGGAACAGCAGAGCTGGCTTCTGCCCCTTCTACCCTATGACTGGTGGCCGTTGAAGGTGTAGTCTCTGGTTCACCAGGAGAAAGAGTCAGAATTGGAATAGTTGTACCTGTCACTGCCCTAGAACTAGTGACCAAAGGGGTCACCACTTCTAGTACCCCAGGTGAAACAGTTGGAACAGCTGAGCTGGCTTCTGCCTCACGACTGGTGGCCATTGAAGGTGTGGTCTCTGGTTCACCAGCAGAAAGAGTCAGAATTGGAGTAGTTGTACCTGTCACTGTCATAGAACTAGTGCCCAGAGGGGTCACCACTCCTGGTACTCCAGGTGAAACAGTTGGAGTTGGGACAGCTGAACTGGATTGTGCCCCATGACTGGTGGCTATTGAAGGGATGGTGTCTGATTTACTATAGAAAAAAATAGAAGTTGTCCAGGGAACTGTTGGGCTGGTCTGTGCAGGATGCATGACCAATGAATCTGTGGTAGCTGGTTCACCAGGGGAGCTTGTCAGAGCTGGATTAGTTGTACTTGTCTCTGCCGCCAAACTGGTGACCATTGAGGTCACCATCCGTGATACACCAGGCGAGATAGTTGAAGTTGGAATGGCTGAACTTGTCTGTGCTTCAGGATGGGTGACTAATGAGCCTGTGGTCTTTGGTTCACCAGAAGAAAGAGTCAAAGTTGGAATAGTCATATTTCGGTCTGTTCCAGAACTAGTGACCTGTGAGGTCACCAGATCTGCTGCACCAGGTGAGACAGTCATAGTTGGAATAGCTGAACTGGTTTCTGCCCCAGGACTGGTGGCCACTGAAGGTGTGGCATCTGATTCACGATGGGAAAAATTGGGGATTGTTCTGGGAGTGGTTGAGCTGGTCTCTGCAGGATGAGTGAGCCATGTGGTTCTTGTCTGTGTTTCATGTGGGGACTTAGTCAGTGTTGGGAACGTTGTACTAGCATCTGTCCCAGAAATAGTGACCAGTGGGGTCAGTGCATCTGGTTCACTGGGTGAGATATTTGTTGGAATGGCTGAGCTGACTTCTGCCCCATGACTGGTAGCTGTGGAAGATACAGTGTGTGATTCACTGTGGGAAAAACTGGGGGTTGTCTTGGAAACAGTTGGGATGGTCTCTGCAGGATGGATAACCCATGAAGCTGTTGTATCTGGCTCACTAGAAGAAACATCTAGAGTTTGAATAGCTGGACTTGTCTCTGCCTCAGAACTAGGGACCAGTGAGGCTGTGGTCTTTGATTCTCTATTGAAAATAGATGGGGTTGTCCTGGGAAGAGCTGTTCTGGTTTCTGCTCCCAGGCTGGTAGCCAATGAGGATGTCATTTCTGGAACATCAGGGGAAACATATGGGGTTGTGATCGTCATTTCTGTGGTGCTTGTGCTGGCCATTTGCACTGATGCATTGAGGGGAGTCAGTGTTCCCAAAGTGGAAGTATAGACACTGGTGATCAAGATGGCTCTGGAAGTGGTCTTCGGAGCTGTGGTGGTGGTCTCCATTCTTTTTGTCCCTCCCGTGTGTAGTCCTGTGAATTGGGGAATGGGCACACAATTTGAACAAAATGATTTCACTTACTGGACTAGCAATAGCTTATTTATTCTCCATATGAGGAAAGGGAGAGAAATGTTTCTCAGTTACTAGGACGTGCCTGGGATGCTCCTGGAATGGGAAAAGAGACTGTAATTGGTATTCCCCTATCTTACCTTCATCGGTAACTTGGTTGTATCTTCTATTACTCCTCTGTGAATTCTTTACCGCAGTAATCTACTCCCTCTTCCCATGTGTTTTCTGCACTGTCAGCCTCTGAGCCTTGCTCAAGCTCTTCTCTCTGCCTGAAGTGCCCACTTCTCATCAGATTCCTTAAGTTCTGCCATTCTTGTGTGCCAAGCCCACATCCACCTTTACAAATTCATGCCAGAACTCATCTTTGTTTCTCAATATTTCCTTATCACACTGTCTGAATCTGCATTGTGCCATCCTTCCCAGTCTCATTTGTAACAGCTATTCACGTCTGACTGTTTGGCATATGGTAAGGGCTCAACTAATATTTGTTGAATGGTTGAATGAATGAATATGTGGATGGATGTATACTTAAGTGGATCTCCTCTGACTTGAGAGAGATTAAGTATTGTGCATTGTGTGTTTGAGAGCTTGGGTTCTGGAATAAGATAGCCCTGCCTGGGATTCTGGCTCTTTCTCTAAAGAGATGGATGGCTCTTTAAGTTAAAAAATATTGCTCGACCTCCACTTTTCCATCTATAAAGTGGGGATAAGTACAATGGCCATCTCAAAATGTTGGTACAAAGGCACCAAGCACAGTGCCTCCTGGGTCACAATAAGACATTACTACTATTACCATGACTATGACCTGCTATTGCTACTGTTATTACTATCACTTCTCCACCTACCATTACTGCTGTTATTGCTACTGCTACTACTACCTATTGCTGTGGTTATTACTATGATTACTACTACTTACTACTACTGCTGCTACTACTATTGTTACTACTAGTATTATTTACTGTTGCTACTGTTACTATTACCACTGCTACTACTACTACTGTTACTACTACCATCACTCTACCTACCATTACTGCTATTACTACTGTTACCACAACTATTACTACCTATCACTATGGTTATTACTATGGTTACTGCTACTTACTATTACTACTGCTGCTGCTATTACTATTGTTACTACTGCTATCACTTAATATTACTACTCTACCTACAGTAGAGTAACAGCAGTAATGGTAGTGCTCTACCTGCCATTACTGCTGTTATTACTATTGTTACTACTACTACTACTACGTATTGCTATGGTTATTACTATGGTAATTACTATGGTTACTACTGTTACTACTATTGTTGCTACCACTATTACTTATGATTTCTACTGTCATGATTACCACTGCTACTACCTACTACTACTACTGTTGCTACTCAACTCTACCTACCATTACTGCTATTATCACTACTATTAGTACTAGTATTACTGCTTATTGCTATGGTTATTACTACAGTTACTACTACTTACTAGTGTTATTGCTGCTATTGTTACTATCACTACTACTTACCATTACTACTGTCACTACTAATAATTCTACTACAAAATAAACATTTGCTAAATAGAATTCTCCACCAACCACACTAGACACTACCAGAGCTGGCCAAGGTGACTGGGATACCTTTGAAGAAGATTCCAGTAGCATTGATGAGACAGCAGCTGCTGACCAGGCTTTAGAAAATGGTTCCTATGGAAGAGGAAGAACTCCCTGGAGACTTCTCTATAAAGCCCACAAAGCCTACTGGGGTTTGGTAGAGAAAGGGGCTAAAATGAAGGGGATTTTGACTCTGATTGTGGAGCAATGTCCCTGTGTTGCTGGATATACTCTAAAAACAATACGTCTGAGAATGCACACTCTAAAGTGCTTCATGTGTATTTAACAATGATGGTGATAATGATGGTGATTATGTTGATGGGAAGGAGGAGGAGGAGCAATTGCAAAGCACTTGACATACACTGTCTCTTTGATCCTCAAAAGAACATTAAATGGCACATTTTGACTGGGCACGGTGGCTCACGCCTGCAATCCCAGCACTTTGGGAGGATGAGGTGGGCAGATCACCTGAGGTCAGGAGTTCTAGACCAGCCTGGTCAACATGGTGAAACCCCATCTCTACTAAAAATACAAAAATTAGCTGGGTGCAGTGGCATGCATCTGTAATCCCAGCTACTTGGGAGGCTGAGGCAGGAGAATGGCTCGAACTCGGGAGATGGAGGTTGCTGGGAGCCGAGATTGCACCTCTGCACTCTAGCTTGGGTGACAGAGCAAGACTCCACCTCAAAAAATAAAATAAATTAAAATAAAATAAAATAAAATAAAATGCACATTCTATAATTCTTGTCATTTTACAGGAGAGAAAGAGAAATCCAGAGACCACAATTTACCAAGGTCATACACAGCTATTGACAGGGTGACAACTGGAACATCATTGTATCTAAATGCTAAACCCATATTATTAACCACTGCATTATATTAATTCCCTAAAGCAACTTCTGGATCTTGTGGAGACCAGAATGGAAAGAGAATGAAGTGAGGTGAAAACGCCCACCTAGTAAGATGGATCTTAGGACACATTCTCTAGTTCAGTGGTTCTCAACCAGGGGCAGTTTTGCTTCCAGGGGACACTTAACAATGTCTGGAGATATTTTTGGTTGTCACAACTGTGTGTGGACGAATGGTATGGCATCGAGAACAGAGGCCAGAGACGCTGGCAAACATCCTACAATGCACAGCACAGCTCCCCAACGCAAAGAAGTATCTGCCCCAAATGACAACAGTGTCAAGGTTGAGAAACCCAGATTTTAATTTATTTATGTATTTCATATTACTGCCTTTTAAAGTGAAAATTTTATTTCAGACTTTATTCAAAACAGAAGAAGGAGGAATTACTAAATATTGTGACAAAGAAAACATGTAACAGTGATGTCATAAACCAAATTACATTTATATCATGTTTTTATTCCCCCATTGTAGTTGCATATTGTAATTTAGCTCTCCAGTGATGACAAACATAAATAACCCAGGAGCTCACCCATCTTCTTTATTTAAGTGAAAGTTAAAAAAAAAGTACAGTTCCAAATTTTTCATCATGGGAGATATAATCCTAGATATTTTTTTAAAGTTTCTCTTACAAGAGAGTTGTGTCTGTTTTTCAACCAGGGCATACATAAAGGCTGTTAATTTATACTTCTTTTTCCTGCATTTGCTAGAACTATTGGGATGTATTTTCAGATATTTTACATATATATGTAATATATATATAATTATACATATATATGTATTATTTATTTATTTATTTATTTTTGAGACAGAGTCATGCTCTGTCACCCAGGCTGGAGTGCAGTGGCACGATCTCAGCTCACTGCAGCCTCCACCTCCTGGGTTCAAGCGATTCTCTTGCCTCAGCCTCCCGAGTAGCTGTGATTACAGGTGTGTGCCACCATGCCTGGCTAATTTTTATATTTTCAGTAGAGATGGAGTTTCACCATGTTGGTCAGACTGGTCTCGAATTTTTGACCTCAGGTGATCCACCTGCCTCAGCCTCCCAAAGTGTTGGGATTAAGGTGTGAGCCACTGTGCCTGGCTCATAGTAAGTTTTTAATGAGCATTTAAAAAATTTAGTTAATAAGGACAAATTTGTGAATATTTGATGTTGGACAAAGCTACTCAACATGCCATGAGAAGAAAGAGAAGTGGTAACATCTACCTGGTAACCATTAGACAAAGACCCAGTTCAGACAGGGAAACCTATGACAACCACACACAATTCTCTCACGGGGAGGGGGAAGGGGAGGGATTGCATTGGGAGTTATACCTGATGTAAATGACGAGTTGATGGGTGCTGATGAGTTGATGGGTGCAGCACACCAACATGGCACAAGTGTACATATGTAACAAACCTGCACGATATGCACGTGTACCCTAGAACTTAAAGTATAATTTAAAAAAAAAAAAAAGAATACAAGCATTTTGTCTCTCTAGAGGAGGAAATATGGTCACAAGTGGCATTATTGGGAGGTAAGCAAAATTAAACTTACCTTTAGGACTGACAGGCAATGTGGATGTCTGAGGACCTTTGACTGGTCTTATGGTACCTCTGTGTGCTGCTTCACTGGGTATTTTTGTGATGTGCTCCATAATGCCATCAGTTCCTGAAGATGAAAGTGGGGAGGAAAACTGGGGTAACTCATCTCATTCAGAAGAAGAGCACTGTCTAAATGAATCCACTTCATTGGCCACAAAAACTCCTCAAGTCCATTAGTATGAACTGGAGCTGGGACTGTGTGCCGTAAGTGGCCACACCAGTCCATAGATCCATTCACCTACCCATAGATTTGTCCATCCTTCCCTTCATTCATCCCTAGATCTGATCATCTATTCTTCCATTTTTTCATCCTTTTATTCCTTTCTCCTACCACCCATTCTTCCTTTCGTCTTTCCTCCCTTCTTTCCTTTCTCTTGCTTTTTAAATTTTTAATTAAAAAGTTTGTATTTCAATAGCTTTGAGGGTACAAGTGGTTTTTGCTTCTATGGATGAATCACATAGTGGTGAAGTGTGAGATTTTAGTGCACCCTCCTTTCTTCTTTCCATCCATCTTTTCTTCAATCTTTACTTCATTTCATCCTTCCACCCTTCTTGCCTTCAATCTGTATCCCCTTCAATCCTATCTTCCATCATCTTTCTTTCTTTTCATCCTTCCTTCTGTGCATCTATCCTTCCTCCTCTTCATCTTTCCTTCCTTTCATTCATCCATCTCTCCATTCTTCCTTTTATCCATCCAACTACACTTCTACCTTCTCACCATGCCATTCATCCCTTCCTTACTGAACACCCATGACTCAACTACTGAGTCACATAGTAACATGTGGGTCAACAGCCACCAATGTGTCTAAATTTAGTGTGAATTACAAAACTAATATGAAGAAGGAGAAGGAACAAATCATTCTCCTGGAGATATTGCTCAGTGAGGCAGAAACTCGAGTCGTTGGAGGGCCTCTTTGGATTTGTGTCCAGAACAAAAGTTAGTGCCAAGCTCAACCTTTTCAGAGGAATGGAATCCCCAAGAGGTTCCTTCCTTTATCTACTGACCTCTTGGAAGTAGTGTTTCCTCCTTCTAGGCTCTGGGTTCCTCCTACCTTCTTAGGTACTTTGTTCCCTCAATTTTCATTAACTTGCCTTTTCCTTTCACGTATCCCTTTTGTCTCTTGCTCAACTCAAAGGGAGAAACCCTCCCTTATATCTATGTAGTGTTTTAGCTGTTCTTCTAGTGCCCTATACCTCACTGATGCTCCCTTCATTAGAATCCCTGAGAACCCCCATGTTGCCAAAGCTCTTCTCACCTCATTTCAACTTGGCAATTCTGTGGTATTTAACAGAACTTAACATTTCTACTTCCTAAAACTCTCCCCTCCTATGGCTTCGGTGATGCCAGAACTTCTTGCTTTTTCTGTTACCTCTCTGACCACTCCTGTTTAGCCCAACAGTTAGGGGCATGAGTTCCTAGTGACACACAATCCGAGTTCTTATCCCAGTTCTGTTACTTTCTAGCTATATGACCTTAAGAAAGTTATTTAATCTCCCTGTGCCTAAATGTCTTCATCTTCAAAATACGCTTATAATACTCTCTACTTCAATAAGTGTTACAATTGAGGATCCAATAGCTTAATAAAACTGCACTTGAAACAGAATAAGTACTGTTATAAATATTTTCTGTTGTCATTATTCTTATTGTCATTATTCTTATTGTCATCATCATTACCAGTAGTAATATTAGAGCACCTATCATGATACTGTAATGATTCAATTATTTGCTTATTTTTGTTCCTCCCATTCGTAACCCAGTGCCTAGAAGTGAAATTAGATAAACACATGTTTGCTAAAAGAATTTCTGGTACAGGAATAAACTAGTTAACTTTTTTTTTGCTTCTTAGGAAGGGGTCATTTCCTATGAGCTCCCAATAATGGGATTTTAGGGGCTGTGAGTGCTTACTTGTCAATCGTGTTGAGAGTGAAGGAACTTGATAAGCACTTGTCACTGTTCCCAGCTCAGCGCTCTCTGTCATTCTGGTATCCAAAATGGGTGATGAAGATGTCCTGGCTGGTTGGCTCGAAGTGTCCAAAGTACTGACCATAATGAAGTGTCCTTCAGTAGTGCTGCTCTCTGTCCCAAGACTGGTGTCCACTCTATGTGGAGTAGCTGAAGAGGAAGTTATCCCATGGAGGGCTGGGATGGTTGAAGAATCAGTGGTAGTGAAGGTTGAAGAGGAGAATGGCACAGGAGTGGATGAAGGCAGGCTCTCTGCAATGGTGGACAGAGTAGCATCCCCAGGGCCTGACTCTGTCCTAGAGAATGGACTACCTGAACCCGAGATGACTCGTGGAACTCCAGTGGTGGCAAATGAAGTCACAGCCTCTGATAGAGAAGGCATCACTGTGCCAGTGGAAATAGTCTCAGCTGAAGGCAGCAAATCTGTACTCAGATGATGAGTACTTTCTGTTACAGACATAGTAAACTTGGATTCTGGGAAGGAGGTTACTCCAGTGGACTCCATAATAGATGGAGAAGCATTAAAGGGGGTGATTATGTCCACTGGAATTTCAGTATACTGTGAGGCTGGAGGCCGGTCTGGGGATGATGTTTTCACAGAAGAGGTGAAGTCAGTCTTGGAACTCTGTAAAAGATGAGCAGACCCAGGAGAAGAAGGTGTATTTGTTGGTGTGACTGAGCTGGTGTCCAGGGACGTGTTAGTCTTCCTAAATGCAGAAGTCAAATGAGAAAATGGCTCTGCCTCAAATCTTGTGGTCTCAATATTGGCAGGCGTTGATGTGGAAATAGTGGTTTCAGCCATGGAAGAGGAAGTACCCACTGGGTATGTAGCCTTGGATGGCTCCAAGTGGATTGAAACAGAGGAATATAGTTCATGTCCAGAATTAGTGGTTCCCACATTGGTCACTGCCATGCTTGAAGAAGGGTGAATTTTCTCTGTATCTGTGGTGACTTCAGAGGCAGCCGGTATTTCAACTGAGGTGCTGCTCAGATTTGGAGATAAACTGGTTCCAGGTTCTGTGCTTATGTCTGTAGTCTTCACCATGCCTGGGGTGAGGAATGAAGTCACAGGAAAAGAGGAGGAAGGGATACTCTGTGGTAATGTGGAAGAAACAGAAGGTGACGTTGTGACAGGTAAGGACAACAGAGAAGAGGAAGAGCTAGTTTTTTCCACAAAGGGAGAGCTCTTCCATGATGGATTTTCAGGACTCCTGCTCATAAGAGTTGTCATCTCTGAGTGTAAAAATCTTGGAGGAACAGTTGAATGGGTCTTTGCCAAGGGTGCTGTTGTTGTGGCCAAGGTAAGGGTACTCTGTGTTGTAGCCCCAGGAGAACTTGTTTGGGTGGTGATGGTCATTTCTGTTGATTCTGACATCATGGATGAGGAAGAGAGCCTGGTGATCACTTCAGTGATGATGTCTGGAGACATTGTGGACTGATCAGGGTCAGGGATGTGTGTTCTGTTAGAGGACATGATTTCTGTCACAGAGACCTCAGTAGTAGCACTAGTGGGCACTCCAAAAAGGACTGCACTTGTTTCTGTGATTGAGCTGGTCTCTTCAGAGGTGCTAGTCTCCCTGAATCCAGGAGTCAGTGAGAATGTGGGCTCTGTTGGAATCCTCCTAGTCTCAGAGAAGGCAGGAATTGATGTGAAAACAGTGGTGTCCTCCACAGGGGAGGTGATACCCATTGAAGGTGTGGTCCGGGTTGTTTCTGAGTCAGCTAGGACAGAGGAATGAGATTCATGAACAGAACTGGAGGTCCCCACTTTGGTCACCGCTGTGTTTGAGGTAGGATGAATTTTCTCTGTATCTGTGATGATTTCAGAGGTGGCTGGTATTTCAACTGAGGTGCTGCTCAGATTTGGAGATGAACTGGTTTTAGGCTCTGAGCTTGTGTCCAACACTTCCGTAGTCTTCACCAGGCCTGGGAGGATAAGTGAAGTCACAGGAAGAGGAGAGGAGGGGCTACTCTCTAGTAATGTGGAGAACACAGGAGAAAGTGAGGTCGCGAGAGGTAATGATGTCAGAGAAGAGGAAGATCTAGTTGTTTCCACAAAGCGAGGGCTCGTCCATGACAGATTTTCAGGACCCCTGCTCATAAGATTGGTCATCTCTGAGTGTGAAAGTCCTTGAGACACAGTTGTGTGGGTCCCTGACAAAAAGGTCGTTGAGGTGCCCAAGGGAAGGGTAACCTGGGATGTAGCCAGTGAAGAACCTGTTTGGGTGGTGATGGTTATTTCTGCAGATTCTGTCATGATGGGGGAGGTAGAGAGCCTGGTGACAACTTCATCGGAGATGTCTGGTGACATTGTGGACTGAGCAGGACCAGGAATGGATGTTCTGCTAGAGGACATAACTTCTGTCCTGGAGACCTCAGGAGTGGCATCAGAGGGCATCTTGTAAAGGACAGTGCTTGTCTCTGTGGATGAGATGATGTCCTGGGAGGTTCTGGTCTCCCTCAGTCCAGGGGTCAGAGATGACATTGACTCTATCTCAATCTTTGTAAGGCCAGAGGAGACAGGCATTGTTGTGGAAACAATGTTGTCTCTTATAGAGGAAGAGGTGACCATTGGAGATGTCACTTTGGTTGGCTCTGAGAAGCCTGGGGAGGAGGAATAGAGTTCCTCTCTAGCACTGGTGGTTTCCACATGGGACGCTGCTGTGTTTTCAAAAACCTGAATTGCCTCTGTCTCCACAGTGGCTTTAGAAGTGGCCAGACTCCCATCTGAGGTGATATTCAAACTGGGAGGTGAAGTGGTCTCAGGTTCTAAGCTCGCATCCAACATGTCTGTGGTCTTCATCATGACAGAGGTGAAAAGAGAAGTGACAGGGACAGGAGAGGAGTGGCTACTCCCAGACGGCGTGGAATAAAGCGGCGAAGGTGAGGCTACTGTAGATAAAGACACCAGGGAAGATGGAGAGCTGTTTTTTCCCACAGATGGGAGGCTTGGCCATGACATGTCCTCAGGACCTCTGCTCATAGGAGTTGTCACCACTGACTGTGGAAATCTCTGAGTTGCAGCTGAGTGAGTTCCTGGCCAGGAGGCTGTGCTTGATGTGCCCAAGGTAAAGGTACCCTGTG